ACTGGTTCTAACTCAGTCACTGTTTGCAACAAATCAGATACAGTTGACGGCTTTCAGGGGTGAGTATTACATTTTTTGCATCAGCCTATAATAATTTACTTTTACCAGAATCGTTGCTACTAGTGCCTTGGTTCCAGAGAAACAGATGTAGCAGCAAGTATTTCCTCGGATTCTAACGCCTTGCTAAGTTGTAGTTCCAGCAATCTTCATATACAGCGATATCATGGTTTGTTACCTCCAATTTATTTGTACTATTTCATTATTGAATATTTTATCTTGATTTTTCTCAAAATATAATGGATCTGATGAGATTGCTAATGAGTGCTTCCCTTTGAGCTTTTCCCCATTCGCTCTGGCAACCGCTTTGTAAGTTTCACAATCGCCATGACTTATCACTGGCGGATTATTCAGGGATTGGGCTATACTTTATTCTCATTAAATTTCTTGCAAAAATATGACTAGCTCGACATCCCTGTTCCCCTTTCTGCTTACAGATCACTCTGTCATGTTGCCGGCTGCGAGATGATGATAAGCATGTAGCTCCATCTCCGCACAAACGAGAATAGAATTGCTCGATTCTGCTAGCCGTGAGAAAGTTTCTGTAACCTTTATTTAAGCACTCATTTTATGCTGTAAATACGTAGCTCTTGTTTCGTTAGTGTTCAAGAGTTCAATACCATGCGGTGAGTTTCTGTGAGACTGTGATGGTATTTGTTTTCTTGTGTTTCTCATCATTTATTACCTCTTTCTTTGTCACGCATTTTAAATCATCGTAGAATTCGCATGTCTTCTATTTCGTACATTTACTAGATTATCTTCTCCTGTACATATTATATTTATATTCGCTAAATGTTTATGTATCACCAGTATTATTATAAAATAACTTTCTTTTTTTAGCGATATACCTTCTGATGTTTGTTTTATAAGAAATGACAAAACCTTAGAAAAAAACGTACTCGTATTAGATCTCACGTACCTGTTGATAATTGGCCGACTATATAGCCGTTAATGGTTTTCTTCTATTGTAACATCTAATCATGTTTTATTTAATTCTGTATTCGAAATCCTCTATATTACCTGCGATACTAAGTCTACCAAATTGGTGCTACTTGATTGTATGTAAACGTTTCATGTGATAGAATATAATGATCTTATTTTGTTTCTCATCTGGTTCTTTTTCATTTCTAGAGAGCTTGTATCAGAATTTACTAAAAGATTTACTCCACATATGATTCAAGTTTTGTGACCATGAAAAGAACATCTATGTGGCCATGTATATTGACCTACGTTTATTCCCAATAAAGAGTGAATTCATGAATAGTCTGCATGATGACAATTATAATAGTTGCTAAATATAAAAGTAAGAGGGCGGAGTGAAAATATGAATTTAATCAGCTTTTGACACCAAAATAAATCCTCCTAGTAAAGGTGTCAAGAAAAACAAACAGAAAGTTCGATCGGAATCGGCCGTAATTGTGAAATATGTAGCTGGTCTATTGCCAATGATCTGAAACTACGGTTGAGTTCAGTAGAATCAGGACTCGCGCAGACATTCTGGTTGTTCATTTATACACTGACGAAATTCTGAACTGATTACCACGAAAACTACTTCAAGGGAGTGACTCGCCGAACGGGATCAGAAAATTTTCAACTAGGCGATTCAGAAAAAAAACAGACAGCTGGAACAACTTTACGCAGTACCGGCTTTTCTTGGAAGATTCTTTCTGATAGTTTCCTGGTAAGGGATAAAGGGGATAAAGTCTCCGGCATTAACCAAGCCCGTTTTTGTGGTGATCACCGCATTTCACTTCCATTCAGAAACGTAGTGACGGTTGGGTTGCATATGTGGCTCATACAATGAATCACGGTGGCCAACCAAGGTACAAGTCAGTGCTCATATCCTCCCAGACGAGTTTCGTACCGATCAACCGACCGGGGATGGAAAAAAAATGATTGGCTTAGGTTAGCAATAATTCAAGGCTCGATCCCTGGATCATACGTATGTGATAGTACCCCACTCCCCAGTGTGACATATCCCCTCTGCTTTCTCGGTTCCGGGAGTAATCAGTGGGCAGCCTAATCGGTTTCCTATTGACAACTAGTTCAAGTCTATCGGTATGAAGTAAGTGTTATTTTTCGCAATAAACGAATCTACACCTAATTTTCAAGCAGTCTTCGTAGAATCGGAATGATTTGGGGATCTTTTCGCTTCTCGGGTGTATGGGTAAATACGTATCTCACTACCGTACTGATGCCTAATAATCGTGGAATGTTTGACAGTTTTGAGAATTTTTTTGCTGTCCATCTGAGGGCTACGATTTGGGGCCATTTCCCAAGCAATATGTATGTGTTTGAGCGGAACTTGCTCATAACGTTGGACCAGCAAATATCACTCGGAAATAGTGTCATGAATCATCAGCGCTAGGGCTCGTTAACGACCGTAAACCAAGCAGTGCTCGAATTGCATGGGCGCCGACGATTCCTGCGATTTCTTTCGCCCGTCCACCGCCAATCGCCTATTGCTGGATACGGTAGCTGGCCAGCTGCCTGCAAATATTCTGGGAAGCGTTCTTCTGAAGTAATTTGTCTTCTTTCGGACAGCTCCCATCAGTATACCCCAGGTTCAGGTCTCTGCAAGGAGTTGTAGTAATTTCAATGCTGCGTCTGTTTGTTTTGGGAGTCGTTTGGAGGTTTCGATAAAAATCAAATATTGGTCTGTCTAATCAGTAATATGGCCAAGTTCTATGTTGATTCAGTTCGGTCTTTTAGCAAGAAGTGCGACTATCATGACTGTTAACAGCCCGTTCCTCCTTATTTGCAGTTTATAATGCCTTGCAAAAAGTTGCTGAACCATCCTTCATACTTAGAAGTACTGGAAAAGAGCATACTTTGTGACTTTCCGCCCTTATTCTGGCCTTATCCCTAACCTTCTAATGTTAAATATAAAACCTTGTAGCAGCTAAAAATAAGAAACGTTTGAGCATGGTCTCTGAGGTTAAACCGATTATGGCTCTCTTATGTTTATTTCTATTAGGGGTATACTCGAAATCAGATCCCAGATGAAAGCTGAATTCTCAGCAATTAGATATTATTCATTTGGAAGTCGTAAGCTTTGTTTATAGTCAGAGTCGCAAGCTTACAAGTAAAGGATGGCTATGACCGATTTGCAGATTTCAATAATTATGTTAAGTAAAGCTAACGCCTTCCAGAAGAAACTGGAACTGGGTAACTATACTGCTGTCAAACCAACCTCTCGAACATTCAGCCCCTGACCACAATTATTTCCTAGGAATACTAGAAATTCACCTTAAAGTTCTTTGAATTCAGGGATGAACTGGGAAGGTCAGAACTTTGAAAGCGGTCAATGTTTACCCGTCCTAGAGATTTCCAGGTGAACTCAACTCTATTGATTAGGCATATTTACTTGTTTTCAGTTCCCTGTAACATGGTTCAAATCGTTCTCGAAAGCATAGTTTTGTAGGGAAAGAAGTATTATTCACCCCTTTTTACACTCTAACTGGGTATCGGCACCCACGTCCTTCTGGAAAAAAAAAACAAATATTTTCGAAGCAGAGAGGGTGGAAAGGCTTTACACTCATCACAAAGAGCTACTACTATTACCTTTTACTACCACCATTACTCTTACCACTAAACAAGCGAACGACCAATATTTTATATTAAAGGGTGTATATACGGTACTTTTCATAAAGACCCACCTGCAAATCCAAGAAGGTCCTACGTCTGCAAATGGGTCGTTACGAAAACTAGCGTAAACACATCCTTTGAATTCGAAAAGGTTTGAAATTCGTGAATTTTCTTGTTACCCTGAGATATCCCCCACATACTTCGAGACCACCATCCCTACCACTTTCCTTTTGTTAATTCTACAGTACCTTGAAGATTCTTTTTTTCAAACCAACATAGTTTTAACCTCTGTCGCGCTCTTTTCTGAGATTCTGAATTTCTAAGAGAATTTTCTGCTGTATATACGTCGCCCTCATTCGGGTAATGCTGTTCCCATCGTGATTCTTTCGAAACGAGCAGTTTCCCACTCTGAAGTATGCCAAAAATGAGGTGCAAACAACCCCACACAAGTAAACATTCTACGGTCCACCTTTGTTGTGGCGGAAATACTGTCATCAATACAGTTCTGAGTTTGATAACGAGAGGCCCAGAAGAGCATTCAGCAGCTTTTTGGAGTCATTTTGGGTGCCAGCCATGAATCCTCCAGGGTAACACTCAATCTTCAATATCTATGTGTGTGACCTGTATAAGTGATGACAAAAATGGTCACGCCACAATGTGACTTCAGATACTTTCGCAATGTAGACATAAGAACAACCCGTGATAATTCCTGAATCCCTGAGATTACCGTAAGTATGATCTGTGACCGTTCTTCGAGAATAGTCTCCTGAAAATTCTACCGTACTGCGAATGTTTTCTGTTTCGTTGGCAAACAATCGTGTTTTCGTGGTAGTTGGCGGTATACGGTACGATGTATTCCTTATCAGAATCGTTCTCCTTGAAAATATCAGTGGTTCCACAGGTACATAGGCATTCATAACCATAACAAGTATTTTTCTCGCTTTACTCATTTGAAGCAAATTCTCCAATTATTTTTATTTATGCACAGTCCCTCTAACGGGGCTCACCTCAGGTTCCAGGATTGTACTGTGGACTTCCCATATCTATCTTATACCTAGTAGAACCGTGCTTTTCTTTTGATTTCGTCCAACAGTACCTGGCACTCATTTTCATGCGTTCGATCAAATTATTATTCCATTTTTTCACGTTTAATCACAAAATTTCAGAATGTCGCTTGAAAGCGTTTTGGGTCCACCACCGGCCCTTTTCACCACTCTCCTGGATATCCCGATTCCAGACTGCCTTATTTCTGTTAATGGATCTGCCCCTATGGCTGGTAATGAAGACCGACTTCGAAAAGCGAGTCCATTCCTTGCCACTCTACTTTCGGAGCGTGAATTCCAGGTTTGTAGCCTTTACATTAACTGAAATTTTGAAAAAAAAAGTTCATGTAGCTTGTAAGTCAGAGGCTACCTGGAAGATGGCCAATAGTGCGTACTGTACTGGGCGGATATGCATTCCGAAATGTTAAATTAAAATAGTATATCATTATATAGTGCGGTTGATTCTTGATCCAGGAGTGAATCAGAAATGGGCAAAGTCAGTATGTACCCTTAGGTTATTAGCGACATAAGATCGGATGGTTAGCAGTAGTAATGGATTCCCTATGGTTAGTACCCACCACTGACATCACATCCAGCTCTAAACTTCTGGGATGACTTTTTTCATTTTCTACTGCTATGCTTCTACTCAGCAGTCCAAGTTGTAAGGCCGTCAGCAATTCTGGAAAACGGGGAAACATGGCGTTGACTGGCCAGGTTGACCGTAACGTCGGAAAAGCCAATTCACGAGTTTTTCTTCTGCTGTCAGCATTGAGTGACTCATCTCGTTTGCTTGATGAACAAAGGAGCGCTTATGGCTCAGCACTAGTACAGCGTCCGAAGGAGGCTGCAGAAGTGCATACGAGGTCATGTACTCGTTTTTCGAGTGGTAAAGTTTTCGCCAAAATTTGGAGAGAATCTAATGGAGCTATTGAACTTCAAGCAACTGATGTATTTGATTCCCCCATGATGATTGACAGTTAAGGCGCTTATCAAATGAAGTAAAAAAAATCTGCGGTTGGGTTGACAGCTCCTGCAAATCACGATACGGGTTACCCATCAATCAGGACTTCCGCTGTGCTGAAAAAGTTAGAAGCTGTAAGAGGGAGTTAATCTTTTGATTGCTTAATTTGAGGGCATCGGACTAAGCTTTCAAACGCGCTCTGATTTCAAGAGGAATACGGTTGTGTGGTTCCATCCGAGCACAATCGATACCTATCGAATTACCGGCCATCCCTAAAGCAGAATAAAATTGAGGTGCACCCTCATAGGGTGTACTGTATTGCAGGGGAATAGACTTTTTACGAGGACTTTGTTCTGTGATTACTGAGAGGGGAGACGTGAGAGAGCTCGAAGCAGCACGTAAGTCTTCAATGATGTCAGCCTTCTCTGTAAAGTACATCTCTGACTACGGCAAAGTACAAGTCATAGCCAGAAATGTACTTGGTAGAAAAAACTGTTAAAGATATAGAGTATGTATGTTTAAGCATGCAAAGATAAGCGAAATTGTAGTGATATTGTTCTTGTTTACGTTGAAAGCCGATTGTTGACAGCAATCGTGCTCAAGGAACTTCCAAACTACTTAACGGGCAAATCATCTAACTTCTTTTCTAACTCCAAAGATTCAAAACTTACCCACAGGCTCGGTGAGGAATCTTGGTTTTGGGAGCAAAGCTTAAATTCACAGAAACTTCTGGAATAGATAAGATCTACGATGTAAAAAACAGTCAGACCATTCCAGCGATGTGAAATGGTCTCCTTTCGAATCAACGGTGGTTCACGTGAATGACGATATGACTGTAGGCACACGTGACGATTCCTAATCGGTGTTTCCGCCGTATTGGGAGGGCTGAGAGCTGAAGGCGTGTCTACGAAATTTTTTTCTCAATTTTGCCAATTTTTGAGGCGCCAAGATGGAGAGTGCAAAATGGCTTCACTTCTGGATAAGATACTGATTCCAGTATTATATCCACCTTGGACAACGGAGTTCTCGATTCCTCCAGAGCAGATCGACTGTTAACTTCGTCCATGAGGTCCAGAGCTCTCAAATATCTCAATATCAATGATTTCGGGGTAAAGGATAAAGTCTGAAGTCTTATGAGGAAGCGCCCACGCAATCGACTTCCATTTAAAATCGTGGTGGTGTATTGAATTCGTATGTGACCTATACATTGACTTGTGGTGGCCAGCCGATGTGAAAGTCAGCGCTTTTATCCTCCCAGACGAGTCTGGTAACAAATAGCTGACCCCGGAGGGATGAAAGGCTTGATTGGCCTAGGCAGATGTCTACTGGGATTCGAATCAGTGACAAGGTGAGTGTGAAGTGCGTCACTTGCCACTACACCACCTCCCCCTAATTTTGAAATGAATAATCAGAATAAAGGTACTAAATCATCGTATATACAAGTACACATTCAAATTCGTCTACGGTTTAGCACCTTAAACGACTTCATGGGTGATCCCAACAACGGAATTGGACCGTTGATATTGAGACTGTTTATCGATTCTATTTATCATATTGTTTAGGAGACTTACTCCTTTCGTAAAGCTTATGAAACGGTAGCACAAAACTGTCTGGGAGACTGTTCGGGAGTTCTTGTACAGGATTCCATGAATTCTCGACAATAAATGGGCTTCATATCAGTTTTATCTTATGTTTGCTAGCGTAAGATTGCTCGCTGAAGAAAAACCGCGCTGGGAAATGTGAAACGTAATTGGTGGTCTGCTATTGTTAAGCCACACATGAGCTCTAGGAGGCCAAGGAGGTTGTGACCATCCCAAGGGAGATGCTTCGGCTCCTGTGGCAATTTCTTCTACTCTGTAGTTTGGTCTTGTAGAATAGGGTTCCCACTCCTACACGTCTGTCAATCTCGGTGGTCCACTTTTGTGTAGGCTGGTAAAGTTTCGGCTTTGTTAGACTTTTATCACCGAAAGAAACGGAAAACAGTCTCGGGAGTCCCTAGAATTCGGTGATAAGGCCCGTGTACAAAAGCTCTCGAAAGCGCTTCCATACGGAGACAACTTTTCGCCGTTGATTGTAAACGACTACGACTTTATTTCGAGAGTGCCATTGATCACCTTTACTGATAACGGTGTCCATTCATTTTTCTTGCACTTTCATTGAGCACCCACCCCAATTCTTATTATCATTTGCTTCAATTAGTCTTTCATAGGAGTCTCGTTTCCTTCAATTACAATTGGCATCTTCCAACGCTGAATTCACTTTCACTAAAGTGATGACTTTTCTTAATACCGGTGATTTCGATATGACCGGATGCACTTCGGAACAGGTGAGTAACCCCAATCGTCCTTGTCCCTCACATTCCTCTACTCCATAGCTCGATTCCAGATGCTGGCAGTAGCCAACGAATGTCAGATCCTATCACTCCAAGAGCGAGCTCTAGAATGCCTGCCAGCTCCATTACCCAAGCCCAGTGAGCTTTACTCTTTCTGAGTTTTTCCTTTCGACTGAGGTAAAAACTCTTTTCAGTATCCCGCTATCCTACGACTACGGCGGCTCTTCCTCTTCCATGTCCTGTTCCAATTTTTCCATCATCTGCTCCTAATCCATTCCTTTTCGTAGACTTACAGTCTCAAATACATGCTGCTAATCTGTTACAGGTGAGTCATGTGTGGGCTCCCATTTCCGGTTACTGTAGCTCTAAATTTAGATGATGATGACGCAATTACACACCGTCAACCCACCTCAAGAATTATTGGACGACAAGTCTATCAAGAAGCGTAGAGTGTATGGAGACACTCGAGAAATGAAAAAGGCTCATTCACTCGATAGCGACGAGCCGTACGATAACCTCGGAGACGTCATCATTCCCAGTACAGACAAAGAAGGTAAGCTTTGGAGGTTTTTGGCAAAGTGCAGGACCTGTCATCACCTAGATGGCCAAGAAATTTTTAGGATGGTGCCGTAATAAGAAGTATATCGAGAAAACCGATGGCGGTTTTATGTGTATGGTCTGCAAAAAGGTCTACGGCCGGTACAATTCTGTCTCTTATCACGTGACGATTTATCACCGAAACCCCCCGATCAAGTGAGTTTGTGGGTGGAAAGGCAATAAAAATATGTGACACCGGTTAAGTGGTTTCAAGAAAAGTTGAAATTTTGTGGGGCAAATGCACTTACAGACTACTGTGATGAAATTCATGTGGGTAAAGGTATATCGGGAGTCTTCATCACCTGATGAACATGGGTTGCTCTCCTGTGGGTGCTTTCCTGCAACTCAAACCAGGCAATTTGTCAAAATTTCTGCTATCCCATGTTAACACCAGACCGAAATGTGACCTTATATGGTCATTACTACTCAACCTCTACTCTTAAGACCGATATGGTCCAAAATAGACCTTGGATGGTACCGCAACCCGCTTGAGCACGTGGCCTTCTTATTTGTAGGCAGAGATTCACAATTTTTCGAAGTTCTTCTCATCTTTCTGGTCTGGGAAAGTAGTACCAATGATGACTAAAGGGAGCCCTCACCATCTCGAAAAAAGTAAAAATTAGGAGAACCAATATACCTTAGTAGAGCCTGCTGCCCCCATATTACTGGAACAAGTGAGACAAGGGCCCGAGGGGATGAAGCTATTGTAGGAAGCACAGAAAGGTAGGAACGGGTGTTTTGAAGTCAGTTACTGAATTGTTTAGGTGTGATCTTCCTGGCTGTCAATTCACGACAAGGGAAGCTCGTTACATCCACTTCCACAAGTACTATCGTCATGGAATCCCTCTCCCAGACAGCATTGACCAAGGTACGATCTAACTCCACTAAGGCGTGTATCGCAGTTCATTCAGTTCCATTTCAGGGTCTCGAAGATGCCCTCATTGCCGTCATGTGTCAAAAAGTCCGGCAATGTTGGAAAAGCACATCAGAAGGCATCAAATTGTCGAAACGAGGTACGTAAAGAAGCGTTTAGCACTCAGGGCTTAGTCGTAAATCGGCTTATTAGGGCTTGTTGCCCTTATTGGCCTATCAGAACTGTCCTCAGTCAAATAGCAACATCACTGACCACACGATTTACTGCATAATTTTTCCTAACAGTCGAAACTTCTCGAATTCCTTCAGCGCTTTCGATGACTTGTTGCTCTCGATGACTCCGAAACGGTTATCAGTTCTGTGACTTGAAACGGTGAAGCTTGCCCGTAGTTCTTTTGATGCTACGACTTTATCTGCTTTGTTTTTGCCACGAACCCGTGACCGCTTCCTTTCCTATCAACGTGACAACGAAAACGGTTTTTATGATTTGGAATCAGGAGGGGGTTCACTCTTATTACTACTTGTCATCATTGATACTATTTTTAGCTGGGGTGGTCCTACTCGGACCGCACTGAGTAGCACGAGACGTCTTTGAGTCATAAGTGCCACAAAAAAGCTGTCCAGTTGCCCGAAAGATTTATTCTTCTTTATTACATCTTCGGGCGGAGGTGGTGTGGTGGCAGGAGGCCACATACATGGTCACAGGTTCGAATCTCGGGTCGATATCCATTTAAGCCATTAAGCCCCCATCTCTCCCGGGCAGTTTGAATGGTACCAGACTGCTCTGGGCGGATAAAAGCGCTGACCTGTACATCGGCTGGCGACCGTAATTCATTGTATAGGCCACATACGCATTAAAAACCGCATCTTGGCCTAGCTGTATATTTGTACACTCTTATTTCCTAGAAAAATCTGATTCCAACCGTCCTCAAGTATTTGATACCTACGTAGAAAGGCTCTTAATTTAGCCATCCTTTAGGGCTTCCCAGATACCTATAGGAAGTCTTTTTCACTTCTATTGAATACACCACTGCTGTAAGTAATGCTGACAACAAATCCAGGTCAGGCGTTTCGGATGTTTACCGGCAGATATTTGTTTACTCAATGATAAGCACATGTTTAATATCGACATATCATTGATATGAGTCATGAGAGCTGAATGACTGAACTATCGTTGTTTCAGAGATGGAACTGCCGAGATCGATTCCACTTCAATGGACCATGTTGTCGTTGATGATGAAATGAATGAAGTTGGTTGATGTTACCTAAGTTGATCCTAAATAAGAGATATTGGTGCTTCCTGAGAGGAAAAACTGAAGAAAATCAAACTGATTGTGTAGCTAATAGAACTACAAGGTTACGCGGTGTAAAAGACAAGATACTTCGAACAGTTCAAAGGGCACTGTCTTCGAGAAACCTGAGTAGTACCAGAATGTTGAAGGATCGGAGTTGTTTGGTCAAATTTCGGGGTGCTCCCGCCGTCATTTCACCACTGCAAACCTGAAATGGGGGTCTGAGCTGGATTTGGAACTCAATCCCAGATTAGTTCTGCTGTTCTCCAAAACCTCCGCTGTATGTTTACTTCAGAAATACTATCCCACTGTTACTTCGAGATGCAACCCACGGAGGTTCGCATCAGATGAATTGAGATATTCGGCGGATTCTCGACAGGATGACACATTGTCCTTCAGAAAATGAGCGGGGGAGTCCCCGGAGAACTTCCACTGCATTCACTGCAATTTCCCGCACTTTCTCCCCCCACCTTGACTGGCTGACCTTCTTCGCCTTAAAATATGGAAAAGCTGGAGAAACAATTAAAAATAGAATAGAAGGGCAGATACAAAGGGATGTTTGGAAAAAGGCCGTGTTGCGAACTTTTGCTGATGGTGAGCAGGTTTCCATAATCCCATGCTTGGCCTTTCCTGGAACTGCGTGTAAATATGTTAACAAATATTTATTTATTTACATCTACTAATCTTGTAAACAGTTGCTTTGTTTCAGTTATTGTTTACTTCAGGACGAACGCATCAGAGGAGAATCACTATCAATGGAAGTATCTGAAGGACCAGTGGAACATTCGACGACGACGACAAAACCACGAGCTTTTACTTTGTAGGAGAATAGACGACAATTCTTTCAATCCACTTCGTCTCGTAGTTATATGCATAATGAGAATATTGTGCATTTGCCTTTCGCCGAAGCTTTATGAGTATATTTCTTTGTTCCAGTAGTAGTAAGTATATTGTAAACGATTCGGTGATTACAATATCTATGTCCTTCTATAGAAGCATTCTATTCACACAGTGTATCTCGCTTACGTCTTTCTTGCTTACAGCACATATTCATATACAAATATTAATAAATAAATATAATTCATAAAAATTTCTGAATATATTCTTGCCGTTGGTTGCGCCTGGTCAGTTGCCCGCTCTCTACCGTATTTCCTCACTTTCTAGACTTTTCGAACGCGGAACGTCTTCCCAGAAGAGTAGCATACCAGAGGTGAGGTTGACATGAACCTCCCCAAAGAACGTAATCTGTGCCCGTCATGATTCCCTACAATTNTATGCATAATGAGAATATTGTGCATTTGCCTTTCGCCGGAGCTTTATGAGTATAGTTCTTTGTTTCAGTAGTAGTAAGTATATTGTAAACGATTCGGTGATTACAGTATCTATGTCCTTCTATAGAAGCATTCTATTCACACAGTGTATCTCGCTTACGTCTTTCTTGCTTACAGCACATATTCATATACAAATATTAATAAATAAATATAATTCATAAAAATTTCTGAATATATTCTTGCCGTTGGTTGCGCCTGGTCAGTTGCCCGCTCTCTACCGTATTTCCTCACTTTCTAGACTTTTCGAACGCGGAACGTCTTCCCAGAAGAGTAGCATACCAGAGGTGAGGTTGACATGAACCTCCCCAAAGAACGTAATCTGTGCCCGTCATGATTCCCTACAATTCAGCCCCCCCCCCCCCCCCCNCCCCCCCCCTCTCCTGATAGAATGATTGGGGCGCAACTTTATTCGGTCCACAACCTCGGTATCTACCCTTGCTCACATGTTGGAATCATTTACCGTAGCTGCTGTGCTGTAGAGATTTAGAATAGCGTCAGTTGCATTCGCGTGTAAATACCACCGGCTTTTGACTTCAAGAAGCCAGGCCATATTCCTTCAAGCTTATGTGGTCTAGTGGAAGACGGTCTAGGAAGAGAAAGGTCACAAACGGTCCCTCTTGCTTTAATAGTGGTGTTTCCTACAGTATCTCCGAGAAAATCATCAAATATCTCATTCGTCGGGGTTCTGTCAAGATATGGGAACGCAGTAGGTTGAAATTGGATGTGCTTCAGGAAGTAAACTGATGAAGTAGGTTCTAGAATGGAGAGGGCATGCCTATCCTGACGTCCCTAAGCGTCACATCGGCGTCAGCTCGCCATTCCCACATGGAATCACTACGTCAACCGTTTTTTGTGTATACCAATTGGTTCGTAGTAGAATGTTCTGGTATCTGTTAGTACACATGATGGGCGTATCAGACTTTTTTCATAGCTTTCATAGCATTTTTTTCTATTCAAGTACATCATAATCTCTTGAAAGATAGATACTTCGTTTGATAAGACAACAGTCGGTCACTAAGGACATTTGTGTAAATCCTGGGAGTTCAGAAAAAAAGTCCGAAGTGCTTTCGTGTGGTTTGTGATGAGCCTTGTCTGATGATTCAGCTACGAAATGGGATCAGTGATGACATTTTATCTCCCCAGCCTAGATTGCTGATACCTCTTTAACCCCCTAGGAACCTCCAACATAATATAGGGCTTCTGGTAATCCTTAAAAATTCATAAACTCAGCCTCTGAGATGATCTCAACTATGTTGATAAAGTCTAAAGGAAAGAGTTCAGGGACGTTCGTCCCGTCTGAGAAATGCACCACGTGTTCGACTCCCACTCAGAATCGTACTTTCGTAGTGGATGCTTACGTAGCCAATAAAACGGCTTGCGATGGCCAGCCGATGTACATACAAGTCAGTGCTTTTATCCTCCCAGTCGAGTCCGGTACCAATGAACTGAACACGGAGGGATGAAAGGCTTGGTTGGCCTAGGCGGATAGGGGATCCGGGAACTATGTTGACATGTTTATATGAATTCTGGATGATCACCTAAGCCATTGTGGTTAGGTCAATGACCTCGCCGTAGAGGGATTACTCTCATACTGGACTTTTTTATGCGATATCTGACGTTGCCAATTATTCGAAAGGCTCCCGTTCATCTACAAATTCACTCTCCTGATAGACACTCAAATTTATTCTTAATCCAAAACTGGACCCGATGAGTGGAGTAGTACAGCGAATGGATCACTGCTTGGATAGTTATGCAGTGAAAGCTCTATGGACCGTCGACCTTGATATGGACATCGAGGTATGGTTTCCGTTTCCTCTTTTTTGGTCATTCATGCTCCCTATACTCTTGGTCTTCTTGTTCTCTGCGATCCCGTTCTTTCCCTTCAGATCGCTGAATCTGTGAATTGTATGGCTTTTGAAAGTGGGTTCTGTAGCACATTCTGCACGACCCACAACTTCACGGGCACCTCTCCCCACTCTCCTGTACATGCTTGCTTGCTCACCAATCTTCTATCCATTTCTGAAAAAAAATGTTTTGGACGCAACAAATTTTTGTTTTTGATTTTATTTGATTGCTTATTTATTTGCTTATCTAATTGTTTATCCAGCTACGCATGATCCTTTTGCTAGATGGCGTCCATAGTTGGTAAACATTAGTCTTTAGCTGATTACTTTTACACATTACGTTTCCTCGGCTTAGAGGGCCTAAAGCCAAATAAGCAGCGATTTGCCTAGTTGACAAGCAGCTTTGCGACAGGTTCAGCCTCAGTGATCAGATAACAACTTCTACGTTATTCTGTAACTAATTATGGGGAGCGATCCACTGTTTATTTTCATAGTTTACCTATATTTTGAGCTCTTTATTCTTTTTCTATTTCCCTACCATTTTACTTCTGCATTCATTTACCTACGTACTTGTTTATTTATTCATGCTCCCAGTGGATACCCTCTTATCGGCTTGGCTCACTTGACTAAATCAGCAAAACGCTATCAGCAGGAATAACAGCCAGAATATCCTAGAATATCCTTCAACTTCAAAAGTGTAAAAGGTAGCATGAATGTATGGGATAAGAATTAGCACGACGTACTGCTAGATTATCATTAGGGATTTCCAGCTTCCCATTGTAAAGAAGAAGCCGTGACGGGTCCCATGCGACGCTCCGACGACGGGTAACGGAACTTCTCCCCGATCGCGGCATTCTCCCTTGCGGCATGCGGCAAATGTCACTGCAATTACCGTACTCAGCCCGCCTCCCCGCCAATCGATAGGACGCGATATTTTTCGTTGATTGCCTTGCTTTTTNTTTTTTCTTCTGTTTCTTTTTCGTTTTCACGTTTACTAGACTTGATTAATTAAAATAACTCCTCCTATGTAAACGACGATCAAGACTGCATTGAAACCTACCTCACAGATTGCGCGCTCCAATCTTCCATCGCAATCCTGCGATACGCGGCGGGTGTGGCATGTGCGACGCCGTGTTAGGGGAGAAGTTCCCAGACCCCTCCGACGACTTATGAGGTCCGGGAATCAAATCCTCGGTCAAAACATTTGACTGGATTGGAAAAAAGCACTGATTTTCACATCGGCTGGTTTCAACAAGGCAACATACACATGCCTTTCTCTTCAATAGTATAACTTCCTGAAAGACTCGAAAAAAAAGCCTACCTTTTTCAAATTCGAGATTGATGGGCGCTACGCTATTCCTTATGTTAAGGACTCGTACGAGTTGCTGACGTGGGCAGTGACAAGTAGAGCGCTACCGTACTAAAGGTTCAAGGATTGAGTTCTGAACTGAGACTCACTAAGTCAACCGAAACTACCAACCTTTGGGCCAGGTAGCACTAGGATCGCCTGGGGGAATGAAAGCACTGTATTGTACATTGGCTGGCTACTACATACATACATATACATACGCATACAAACGCCACCACAATTCTGAATTGAAATCATTTAGGCTGATTCAGCACCCATTTTCGACTTATATTATGCAGAATGATGGATTTCTGTATAGCTGACT